AGAACAACCACAAAAGTGCTCTCAAATCTCTCAAAAAACGAATTAGATCTGTTATCAATTGTGTTAGGATGTCCAGGGGTGTTAATCAACACTCCAAATGTCGAAAGGTGTGAAGAAATCGGAAGTTTTTCCCGAACGGTCGCGATTTTCCGCTCAATCCGAACTGCTCAGAAAAAACGGGCTGCCCACCTTGAGGGAGAATATTGAAGGAAAGGAAACATGCATGGCAGAAGAGTTGGAGGCATCACCTACTTTGCATGATTTGTATGAAAAGGCCACGAAGACATAAGGAACATGACACAAATGGAAAGGTACACAAAGACGTTGGAGATTTCCTCAGAAGAATATACGCATGGGAATTCCTCAATCAAGGCTCTATAATATTGCTCCACCATACTTGTAATACACGTTAAACATGAATCCTTTTGAGAGATTCTAAATTCCCATTCATTTACTCTAAAAATACCAACAATAGATAAACCATATGTCATATTAAAAAATAATGGATGTTCGTGGATCACGTTTTATAATATGAAAATGTCCCTTTTGCTAGTCCCGGAAAAATTTAGAAGAAGATGTAAACAACAGTTAAAAATGATTGAAGCAATGGGTGAAAGCGAGATATTTGTTATGCTTTTGTTTTATACACATATCGATGAATAGATAAAGGAAAAAATACCTGCAAAATTTTGAAATTATAATTTGGTATAATATTAATTAATAAATTTGTAAGTGCATCTATTTTTTTTCGAACATATATTTTTTAACACAGTAATTTCTAAATTTACTTAATAGTTTTATAACAAATTTTAGGAATTATTGTGTTCACAAATACAAATTTAAAAATTATTGTGTTAAAAAATATAAGATCAAAAATTACTATGTTTAAAAATATAAATTTAGAAATAAATAAACATACTTACAAATTTAAAAATTAATATTATATCAAATTATAAATTTAGAAATTTTCAGATATTTTTTTATAAATAAATTAAGTATATTTCAAAACGAAATAAAACAAAATTAGTTAAGGGAAGTGGCCAAAAAAGCTCTCCAGCGTGCGACCAACGCCGTGGCATGTGGCGACAAAAAAGTCATGTGAATATGAATTTCCGGAAATACCCTCCCTCTGGTCGGCAAAACTACGAGTCGTGCCACGTCGAGGACACGTGTTTTGTCTCTTTGGATTGAGCGCGTGACGCCGTCTCTTGCCATTGCTTGGATTACCAGATTTCTCGATGAACTATGGGATTTAGTTTATTTTATTTGTTTGAAAAAATGTGTAAATGATCTGATAATGACGTATTTGTTATCATTAAGCCCTATAGTGATTTTCGTGGGAAATAAAATTTGGATGTGATGATTTTTAGCTTTATTTATTTTTAGGGAAAATGACATTTTCCTACACCAACTTTGTAAAATGTGACCTTTTCCTACACGAATTTTTAATTTGACAAAAAACTACACCAAATTATTAAATGTACCAAATTGATATATGAACTACCCAATTTAACTGCAATTTCCTACACAATCCGAAAACGATGTTAAATGTCCGTTAACTGCTGACGTGGTACGCCACGTGGCGACTGACATGGCACGCCACATAGATTTTTTGCCACATCAGCATGCCACGTCATATTTTTAAAAAAAATTCCGAAAAAAATGAAAAAAAATCGATTTTTTTTTAAATTTAAAATAAAATAAATAAATAGCAATATATATATATATTCATATCTATATACAAATAAAAATATAAATATATATACTCCTATATAAAAATATATAACTATATATATACAAAATAAAAAACATACACATATATATACAAACATCTATACAAATATATATACATATACATACAAACAAATATAAACATAAATACTTCTATGTATATATATATCTATATATATCAAATAAAAATATACACATATATACATGCATTTATACAAATATATATGCATATACATACATACAAGTATATTTATATATATACACATACATATATATATAAATACATATACATGTATATGAATACATATTTATTATATATACACATACATATATAAAAATATATACATACATACAAAATAAAAAAATATACAAGTATATATATATATAGGAGTATATATGTTTATATTTGTATTTGTACATAGATATGAATACATATATATACATGTATATGTATTTATATATGTATGTGTATATATATAAATATACTTGTATATATGTATATACATATATATTTGTATAAATGCATGTATATATGTGTATATTTTTATTTGATATATATATTTTGTATGTATGTATGTAGGTATGTATATACATATGTATATATACATATATATATGTGTTTATATATGTATATGTATATATAAATATATTTGTTTGTATGTATATGTATATATATATTTGTATAGATGTTTGTATATATATGTGTATGTTTTTTATTTTGTATATATATTTATATTTTTATTTGTATATAGATATGAATATATATGTATATTTTTTTTTGCTGTTTATTTATTTTATTTTAAATTTTAAAAAAAATCGATTTATTTTCATATTTTTTCGGTTTTTTTTTAAAAATATGACGTGGCATGCTGACGTGGCAAAAATCTATGTGGCGTACCACGTCAACCGTCACGTGGCGTACCACGTCAGCGGTTAACGGACACTTAACATTATTTTCGGATTGTGTAAGAAATTGCAGTTAAATTGGGTAGTTCGTGTATCAATTTGGCATATTTGATAATTTGGTATAGTTTTTTGTCAAATTAAAAATTCGTATAGAAAAATATCACATTTTGCAAAGTTGGTGTAGGAAAATATCATTTTCCCTTGTTTTTAACAAAAGAGCTTCGAAAGATTTACGGAGAGAGAAGTTTTGTTGCGTAGCGAAGGAGGCGCGTGGAAAAGGCACGCCTACACTTTTCCGGTGGGCTCCGCCTTTCACCACCAAAGTCTTTCCCTCACGTCTTCTAATATATATATGTATATATTAATTATGTTTTCAAATATATTTTTTTACTTCTGAAACTTTATTATTAAATTTTTCAAAAGCGAATGAACGACCAAATATATGTTTTTCTTGGTTAATTGCCACAAGACAACGTATATTTGTTTGATCTACAATTGCAAATTTAGTCATTTGTTTTATAATACTTCCTCCCTTTAGTTTTATTTAACTTTTTAGCTTTAAACATACATACTAAACAAATATTTTATCTAAAATACCTTTTTAAATTATCACTGTTTTAACTTTTTCTCTCGTACAATATTATAATTATCTATTATTAATAAAAGATAATTTTATAAAAAAATATCAAAACGGTATTTATTTTAAAATAAAAAAATATTCTAAAACGTCTTAAATTAAACAGTGAAAGTATATGTTATGGATTAACGTAGGAAAACTAAAATACAATTTAATAACAAGGGTAATGATGTTTTAACGGATTTGATGGGTTTTAATAAGACAAATAAAAATGGCAAACTTATGAGGAGGATCCACGTGGCTTCCTAAAAAACGCAAACTAGTTGCGAATGATGAGCAGAAGAGGTCGGAGTCGTGTCATGTTGTGATTGGATATGGAGACAGGCAGATGAATCTTTCAATCGTTTTGGTTCGACAGTGATCTGGTGTTCCGCGGCCGACGCTAACAGCGTGTGCACGCGGAGGCAGGACCCTTTGATTTGGACCTACGACTTATAAAATCTTTGGCAAGAATATAAAAACATATATATATATCAGTAGAATGGGAAATAATAAGAGGTTTATATATAAAGTTGATATATATACAAAACTCGAATCATTATAAGCCAGTTTTCACCCCAAAAAAAATGTTCGTTGCGCAAGGTGAAGAATTATAAATAATATGAAAAAGGATGTAAAACAGTTCATTTACATTTATAGCATAAACATTATAAACGTAAGTTACAAAAGTAATAACGACGACAATAATAATAATAATAATAATAATAATAATAATAAAAAGAAAAAGAAATGTCCTTTCGGCCGAACTTTAACCACGATTATAACCCCCACTAATAGGAGAAGAAGACGACAAAAGTCGCTGCTTATTGTCTGCTCTGGATTTGTCGTTTTGTGTTAAAGCAAAAAACCGACATACCAAAAAACGACAAAACAAATTGCCTAAATTTTCAATGTGCCTAAAAAGAAAAAATAAAAGAAGAAAAGCCAATTCCCCAAAGAGACAAATTTAATGTTTTGTTTTGTCTTTGTATATAAATTTATTAGGCGGAGAGACTGACACGTTCAATGCATCTCCTAAGACAAATGGACGTGTAAAGTAATCCACATCACAACTTGCAAGTTTTAACACATTTCGATACATTGAACCAGCTTCCGCAGCATGGCTTCGCTAAGTTCATGGCCTCAGGCAAACGGCCACTCATCATTTCTTTTATTCATATTGGCGTTCATAGAGTTTTTCGATAATATTATCTATTTTTTAATTATGTTAAAGATGATACAATTTTATCACTAAGAACAAACCTTCCCGCTGCGGTAGAATCTTCGCCTTCGCCTCGCCACAAGTGCTTTAACCCAAAAAAAAAAAAAGAAGTTAATTAAAAAGGTGATTTGGGCTTTGGGCTTCTACAATTCTAACTGGGCTTGTTCGAAAACTGACGTGGATCTCTCAGCATAACCACTGAATCTATTTAAACTGGGCTTCGCAAGTCTGGCCCAATTAATGGCCCATATGTCTATATTACTGTTTTGTAAAATTTACCCACCTAAAAGCGCTCGTCTTGCGAGAGGTATCGGGTTCGATCCCCTACATTTCCACTCACAATCCATAACTATTTTTGTTTTCTATTTTTTCTAAAATCAATAAATTAAATCCTCACTGTGTGCGTCTCTCTGCTTAAACCCTAACCAGCCTCCTCTTCTCCTCTCCGCTGCCTCGTCGCTCTTCTCTTCTCCTCCTCCTCCTCCTCCTCCTCCTCCTTCTTCCTCTCCTTACTCAGACAATGGAGGACGATCTCCGAATCCGACTCCATCAACCGCAAGTGACAAAGCTATTCCCTGTCAGACCTAAACCTAGATCAAAATCCGTTTCCCAGTCTCAGTCCCCTGAATCCAGGTATTGGTCCTCTTTCAAATCCCAACAGATCCCTAATCTCGTCTCCTCCGTCTCCGCCATCGCTTTCTCTCCGGTGCACCCTTACTCCTTCGCTGTCGCTCACTCCGCCTCCGTTTCCCTCTTCTCCTCCCAGACCCTCTCCGCTTCCCATCGCATCTCTTTCCCCGACGTCGTCTCCTCTGTCTGCTTTCGCTCCGACGGTGCCCTCCTCGCTGCATCTGACCTCTCCGGCCTCGTGCAGGTCTTCGACGTCAAGAGCCGGACCCCACTCCGGCGCCTCCGCTCCCACGCCCGACCCGCCCGGTTCGTCAGGTACCCATGGCAGGATAAACTTCATTTGATCTCCGGAGGGGACGATGCGGTGGTGAAGTATTGGGATGTCGCCGGGGAGGCAGTCGTATCGGATCTGTTGGGCCACAAGGATTACGTTCGATGCGGTGACTGTTCACCGGTCAACGATTCTGTGTTCGTCACCGGCTCTTACGATCACACTGTTAAGGTATGGGACATGAGGGTCGAAAGCTCGAGATGGGTCGCAGAGATCAACCACGGAAAGCCAGTGGAAAATGTGGTGTACCTGCCGTCGGGTGGGCTGATCGCGACGGCCGGTGGGGACACTGTCAAGGTATGGGATCTGATCGGAGGGGGTAAGATGACTTGCTCCATGGAGAACCACAACAAGACGGTCACGTCCCTCTGCGTGGGGAGAATCGGAGGTGAAGCAGCCGAGCCCGAGAATCGGATAGTGAGCGTGGGGTTGGATGGGTACATGAAAGTGTTCGACTACGGAAGGGCAAAGATCACTTACTCCATGAGGTTCCCTGCACCACTCATGTCCATCGGACTCTCACCGGATGGTACAGCGCGGGTGATCGGAGCGTCCAATGGGACGGTTTTCGCCGGTAAGAGGAAGGCAAAAGAGGGGGAAGAGAAGAAAAGCATGGATATTTGGACAGTAAAGAGTGAGATTGAAGAGAGTAGAAGAAGGGCATTGCGACCAACGTATTTCAGGTACTTTCAGAGAGGGCAGAACGAGAAGCCGAGAGAGGGTGATTACATGGTGACGAAGACAAAAGGGGTGAAGCTGAGGAGACATGACAAGTTGCTGAAGAAGTTCAGGCACAAGGAGGCATTGATGTCAGCAATGGAGGAGAAGAATCCGGAGAATGTGGTGGCTGTGATGGAGGAGTTGGTGGCAAGGAGGAAGCTTCTGAAGTGTGTTTCGAATTTGGAGGAAGAAGAGGTGGGGATGCTGCTGGGTTTTTTGCAGAGGTACTGCACTGTGCCCAGGTATTCCGCATTGTTGATGGGATTGACTAAGAAAGTGCTGGAGATGAGAGCTGATGATATCAAAGGCCGTGAGGAGTTGAGAGGATGTATAAGGAACTTGAAGCGGGCAGTGGATGAAGAGATCAGGATACAGCACTCTCTCATGGAGATTCAAGGTGTTATTGCCCCATTGCTGCGAATCGCCGGAAGGAGATGATGATTACCCCACTCTTGTTTTTTTGCTTTTGTTATAATCTTATTCCATTTGTAGGCTCCGACTTCTTATTATGTCAAAGAGAGTATGTTTGGGGTTGAGTTTGAGACACGGAGGAAAAGCCAATACCAAATGTAACATCTATCGGATTCTTATATCATCAAGAAATTTTGTTGGGTTTCTTTCCTACACTGCACGGTACAAGATTCTATAAACGCAGCCTACTTGCTTCCCATATAGATAGATGCATAAGTCACAGTAAAGTACTGGACTTTACGGCATTGGAAATCAACCTCGTTTGAACACCATTTCCAGAAAGATTAGACATGTCATCCTCTGTTTGTCTCTTCATCTGTCTCAAAAGCTAAAGAGGTTGTCTGACAATCTAGTATGACTTAATGACTGATACCGGACGGGGCGGAACCAGCTCAATCCACACAATTCGTTGGATTGGTTGAGCATCGAGCTCCATCTGGTTAGGGATATGATCACTGGAACTCCGTTCCTGATTCTCTCCACCGCTTCCGTCGTCCTTGCTAGATTTCTCGTTGTCGTCATTTGGAGACGCTTGGACTCCGGATCCGAGAACAAGGGAGAGGAGACTCGCGTGGGCACGAGGAGTATAGGGCTCGAGAAATGCCGGAGAATTCCAACTAGCGGTGGTTATAAAGGAGGTCCCTTCCCTATAAATTTCCGCCGTTTAGACTAAAATCATGAAAGCCTGAATGAAACAGTCTTGTTTTGCTCTTTTCTCTATTTTACATTTTTCAAATACGAGTCCAAGGTCGACATTTGAAAAGATACGATTCAAACGTCGCCGTTTCGAGGGCGTGCCGAATTTCCCTTTGTTTATTTATTATTTTATTCGTCACTCCCTAATTTCGGTTGGTGGGCCTCGTAGCTGGGCCGGCCGAGTTAGGTTTTTTAAAATACATACATATAGGAAAACGTCATTACATAAATGAAAAGGAATATCAAGCACCATGAGCAGTGACGGTAGAAACGGTAGGATTAACGAAACCGCAGTGCTGACGGATCTCTCCTTGGTCGCCGGTCTCGACATTAATGGAGGTAAGCTTCTTCATCGCCTTGGCGAACTCAATGGAGAAAACCCAGTTGTCGGTGAGGCTCTGGACAATGCTGAAAGCTTCAGGGTCGGTGAGAAGGGCCGCATCGGACAGGAACAGGCCCCTGTTCTGAAGCAGGTTGGTGAAGTAGTGGTTGTCGTAGCTGAAACCACTGTCCGGATCCAAGTGGACCGTGGTCAGATCGGTCGGAGAAGGACTGCATTTTGTCTTTAGAAACTTGGCGTAGTCAGGATCCAGCGACGGGTCCTGGTTTCCGACACGGCCGGAGAAGTTGTAGAGACGGTCGTTGAATAAGAAACAGTGACCCTCTCCTATTGTGTGGCCCCCTTTATTCGAAATTTCAAACCACGTGTAGACTTAGGACCTTGTTGTGTGTGTGTGTGTATACAGAGAGAGAAACTGAGAGAGATTGAAGTTTAGAAGATGACTATAATTGGTTACAGCTTTGTGTATAAATGTACATTAGTTATTGTTATTATGTGATGTTTAGTGGGTTATATATGGATCGTGTGTGTGTATATACGGTACCAGATAGAACGACGAGGTCGTGTTTGTTGAGGCCTTGGGCTTCGAAGCTCTTTAGGAGCTCGTGGAAGTTCATGGATGGAGACGGAATATTCGCATTCGCCTCTTCCATTTTGGATATCCTCCCGTCTCTTCTTCCTGTGAATACTTCCCATATTGGCATCTTGAACTGCAAAATGCATTTTTCACTTTGCAATATCAAGAATTATCGTGTAATTGTTGGATGGTGCTGGAGGAAAAAGACAAACTTGGAAGGCGACGGCGTAAGTGGTGGCTAAGGGGATAATGTCGGCACAAGAGACGATTCCATTGCAGACTTGCTCGAGCTTGGCTTTGATTTCATCTACGAGATCCGTTCCCCCCAACGTCAAGTTCGGCTCTGCTTCCATCTCCGCCTCATTCTCAGCCGTTGATCTTATCAGCACAGACGCATCACATCCCTGGCAGTCTGACGTCAATTACATCCACATATACACACAGCTGTGAGAGATGGATTTACCCTGACAAAGCAGTCGTGGAAGCTCATGCGGAGAAGCTTGGCGGGCAAGGCAGGGTCGGCGGCGACACTTCTCCAAGTGATGTTCCTTATGACATCCTCGGCGACAGGACACGACTCCTTGTAGAAATACTTCTTCAGCCCGCTATTCACTTCTCCTTCTCCGTCCTGATCTCCTGCTCCCTTCCCCATCCCTGCTGCCAGAGTCACCGCCACGATTACCATCACTATTCTCACTTTCCCACTCCCCATCTCAATTTCTCCTTACAATCTCTTTGGAATTAATACCGTTATGTACGTTTTATATTATCAGAACGAGGGACACGAGTATACTATCTTGTTCTTCGTTCAGGCATCTACTTGTTTCAAGGAAAACGACTTGTATGCAGATTCCAAATTGGAAGCAACTTACTATATATATATATATATATATAATATTGTGTCAAAAGTGTATGGATCTGCATAGGAAATCGGGCATAAGATGACATGTTCTCATGACAATTGGACCATTAACTAACGACAAACTTGTCTGCATTCTCGTAGGAAATGAAGCTGTGGTCAACGGCCGATTGGAAAACGTACAAGGGAGAAACGGAAGGAGAGGACTGTGTGTGGGAAGGAGGAGAAGACCGGAGAGAACTTTCCCTATCCGACTCGACTCGATATCACCTCAAAGGCCAAGGTGAGGGGCCCTGTTCCCAATATTATTGGGCCAACGTCCCAAGCTCCAAGACTAATATGGACATGCCATTAATTGTTGGCTTGTGTTATTAATTAACATTAATTCCTACTCTACTCGCAGTAGTTATAAAAAAAATGGAAATTAAAATCATTTTATCACATAAAACATGTGTAATTTAACTGACGGTTATTTTATTTATCGTTTGCGAGGGACATACAAAATGGGAGGACCCGCATATATAATACCAACATGCACTATACATATTGAAACTAACAAAGGAATCGATAAAAATAAAAGGAGAGGTTTTAAATTGGAATTTCATAGTATATGTTTAACTTTGTAGTTTTTTTGTTGTGTGTGCAGGGAAATATGCGTTAGCTAAAGCTTACCTGCTTTCATTAAATGTTGATCATTATAATCATCGTATCAAAGATGATGCAAGCCTCCACTATATATACCCTCTACTTGTCCAACAGGAGGAACCACTTGCACGTTTTATAAACGTCATGACGTTTCGCGGTTTTATCATTGGTTGCGCTGCCGTTTCTTTACTTGATCATGCGTCCTTTTGGCTTTTTATTCTTGCTTTTCGACCGACTCCCTTTAAAATGTTTCTCGTTGGATGAAATTAATATTACAAAAAAAAAAATGTTTTCACATAAGGCGAATATAAACATATAGTTGGCGTATGGTGCTGATATTCAAGCGAGTATAAGGTCTAATGCGTTGCTTCCATCAAATGCAGCTACTGCTCTTTATTATCTCTGGTCGCAATTAACAAACATTTTCAAAGTTTTGGGTTCGATTCCAAGGGTGGGGAGGATGTAATTTCTTGATAAAAAATGGTCCATATATAAAGACTAATCCCGAACCTAGGGTGGATGTAATCGGATCAAAACCGTCCGTCCTGATTATAAAAATATATATATATATTTAAAGCAAGATATTTCCCCAGATGCCTGTCGTTTTATTCACAATAGAAACTTGACAAGAACAATTAAGATCAAGAAGTCAAACAAGCTTCCCAGAACAATCGACTTCTCTCCATCTCACTCGCCCTCTCCTTGCCCTTCGACGCCGACAAATCAACGACCAGTTTCTGGTTCTCTCTCCTCGCCCACTTCCCGTAACTATTAACTTCTTCTCCTTCTTCTTCCTCGACCGTCGCCGAGTCAAAACCCGACCCGCTTACCCGACTCGTCGTCGCAAATGGAGTCTCACACGAACCAGCTCTGCAAGACTCGGCATCATCATTGTCGTCGTCGTCATCCCGAGTGTCTGGAATGTGGCAATCGGTCTCGGAATCTGCGGTTGCTTCGAAGAGCAAGAAGGGAGATACATCAACCACGCTGTTATTCATCTTCTTCTTCTGTGGAGAAAACACGATATAAAAGCGTGGTGGTATATATAAGATACAGAAAGAGAATGCAAAACTCTAAGGTTTATGAAGCAATAGGCCGTTATATTTGACGCTGCAGAGATCTTTCTTTCTTTCTTTTGCTTTTATTTGATGTGAGTGTCTGTTGATAAATAAAGGTTTGATCCGTTTGGGCGCTTTTGTATCGCATCATGAGTCCGAGAAGAGAACAGGTGGGTGGGGTTGGGCTTCTAGAAGGAATCTGTATAATAATTGAACATGGTTATTAAAATATTAAATTCAAAAGCCATTGCCAAAGTTGTGGGTTTTGTTCTGGTTCCCCTCCCAGAAGATCAAACATCGTTTCAAATCAAGACGCAAGTCCAAGTGTCGACACGCTCAGTCTTTGCTTGTCTTTGGGTATATATATACACGTTGTTTTCGTATAATCGGTGTAAATAAGGATAAACTCATGATATCTAGAATGTTAAGTAAAAAGAACAAATTAAGGAAATTATACCTTTTACTTTAGGACAGTAGATATTGTTGGCGACAAGAAAAGAAGAAGAAGATAGATTACTTGTTGTGGTAATTTTGGGCTATTTGTGCATTATATATATATATATACTATATATCAAGGTAGACCTAAAAAAAGAAACACTAACAAGGATATGGCAATCAAACTCTAACTATTGTTCAACTAATTGACAGTAATCATTGATTAGGGATTTCACATGAACAATAATCATGTGAACTTAGGTCCATCAAAGTATGACTATAATATATTTATGTATTTTTTTGTATAGGTCATAAAAATCAATAATAACCCGAGTAATCAGGCAACAACAGAACACGCATGACCTATCCTATCCACGTACGTGCATGCACACAGCTAGTTAGATACTCATATGTCACGCATAAAATACACGTGTTTATGTGTGTATATATATTGCGTGGGAGGAGTAGTCAGAGTCTGTCTGCTGCTGAGGCGGACGAAAGGGCGTCCTTTTTGTTAAAGTGGGAAAATGAATATATGATTGGAGTAAAATAAGATTAGAGATATGATGGAGAATAATAATGGATACAATATCATTATACCAAATATTGTGTATCTGATTTGTTTCCATTGTGTCTATATTTCCTTTTTACTCTATTTCTTAATTTTCCTATAAATATGTAGTTCATTTTCATTATAATGTAACCAGAAGAAGAAGAGATGTAGCAATAAAAGTAATTTCGTTTCTTTCTATTTGTCTAATTTTATTTCCGCATTTTATTTTTCAATATGGTATCAGAGCAGCGTTGCGATCTGGACTATATGTTTTTTTTTTCTAATCTCTTCTTTCTTTAGCGTTTTGGATGTTCATATATCCAAATCGTTTGAAGGAGAGTAAAAATTCAAATTCAAACGATGTGCTATGACAAACAAAAGTCAAAGCTAAAAACTCTAAGATCAAGCAAGATGCTATGACAAAAAGAGTTAAAGCTAGAACTTTAAAGTCAAGCGAAGTGATTTGAAAATGATTAATGCTCTCTAAAAGAACAAATTTTGGTTTATGAATTTTTCCTGAGACAATGAAAATGTCTGAGCGGTTTATAGCATTATCGATTCAAGATTGACTTTTTTCATTCTTTCAAAGTCAATCTTGAGGGGGAATGTTAAAGTGGGAAAATGAATATATGATTGGAGTAAAATAAGATTAGAGATATGATGGAGAATAATAATGGATACAATATCATTATACCAAATATTGTGTATCTGATTTGTTTCCATTGTGTCTATATTTCCTTTTTACTCTATTTCTTAATTTTCCTATAAATATGTAGTTCATTTTCATTATAATGTAACCAGAAGAAGAAGAGATGTAGCAATAAAAGTAATTTCGTTTCTTTCTATTTGTCTAATTTTATTTCCGCATTTTATTTTTCTACACTTTTCACTGCCGAATCCTGCCGTTTGACAAAAGAGGGACGGCCAAAGCAGCGATGAAACCGAATTAAAAGGCCAGCGAAATCTAGAAAAATGTTGACTTTGGGGGCTCCACCGGCGCCTCTCTAATCAAAAGTTGGATATTTTCTAGCCATAATCATACAAGGATCTACGCTTGCTCTTTCCTTCACGCAATTAATAAACACGCTCATTCCACTTAATCAATATTAGCATTTTGATTATTAATTAGTTTTGATTGGTGGAGATATTCAATCTAATCCAGCACCTAAAATCATGTACAGCTGCAGAGAAGTCAAAACCTAATCCCAGGTTTATACTATGCCGCGGTTTACGCTTGTATTGCTAAACTCCAAATTTAGATATAATTGGGGTACAAATAATGACAAACTAAAATCGAGGTGTCATTTGATTGATTTTAGTAACTTTTGGATCTTCTTGCAATTCACACAAAATGTTCGCCGGCTTCCACAGGTTTTCTTTTGGTTGGCTTGCCGATAAATAAAAACACCGGCTACCGCAGGTATTCATTGTCATCCGTTAGATCCTTTGTACTTTCAGCTAATCGTAGCCGTCGGATATGTCTTTCTTCACCGTAGCCGTTAGTTAGAGCCGGGGTGAAACGACGTCGTTTGTTACCGGGTTTGCCGTATCCTCAACAGCTGATTCAATCTGGCCAATTTTCCTGAGATATGCCTCCTCCTGTTCTTATATGATGTTGGATTACCGGATTTATTGATCGGGATCCAAAAATTGTGGTGATGTTGATTTTCTCCGCGAATTTGTAGGCAAGTACTGCGATTCTGGAAGTTGTAGTACCAGTGTTTGACTGGCGATTCTGTAAGTCCTCATCCATGGCTCAATGTATTTGTCTGAAGAGAGGTTTACAGGCGATGCAGCGGATCTGGGTATCATCTGACACATGAAAGTTTTCCAACCCAAGGATACATAAACAAAAAAATAAAATCAAAAGGGTGGTTTAGGGCTTTGTACAATTCTAACTGGGTTTGTTTTCAAAACTGTTTGGGCTTACTCTACATTTTGTATTTACAATGGGCTTCACAATTCTGGCCCAATTCATTTTGGCGGCCCATTGAAGAGGAAAGAAGGATGATGTTTTATTTGTGTATTTTGTATTTAAAATGGGCTCTCTACATTTTGTATTAGTCCAAGAACAGGGAAACCAGAATATTTTTTAAAAAAAAATCTCAACTTGTATGCATCCAGTGGCACAAAAAGCCATAAGAAGTAGAAAGCGAGGAAAGTTTTTACCATTTTGGTTCATGATTATGCATTTTCTGTGGAGCTTGTGAGCAAAATGCCCATTGACACTCACTTCTAAGACGGATGCCCCCAACAGGGAAAAGCTTCACGGGATTCGATCTCTGTTTTTTTTTTTAAAAACACGCAGACAAAACCTTCCGTCGATCATGTGCTCTTACCAACAAAACCACACCCACCATTCTTGTCTTTTACCTCATGTGCATAGCTGTATTGTATCATCTTGTTTGCTTAAACGGTCCCATTTCTCTCCTCTTTTTCTTCTTCTTATCTTTTTACTTCTGCCCAGTTCTCTGAAACGAAGAACGCACCCTCCTAATCGAAGGGCAAAGAATCACATTCATTGGAGCATTTTCATATAGCCAGCCATGAACGCTTCTCTGTTCGCCGCCATTGTGGTGTTACCATTCTATTGTTTCTTTGTACTTGCTTCAGCTTCCGAGTCCATAAAGATTCAGTTATCAGCCATATCAGCGGCGCCTGCATCATGGCCAGAGCCTCCCTTATCTTCAGTGTCTCCGACTCCATCGCCGGTGGGTGAGATGTCTCCTTCTCCGTCAGAGTCTTCTTCAGTCATACCCACCATCCCCTCCAGCCTCAGCCCACCAAACCCAGATGCAGCAGGTACGCTTGCTCCAGCCTCTGAACTCGCCCTTTCTCCATCTGGGTCCGCTCCACCTTTCTCTTCCTCCTCTGTTTCCTTGATGTCTTCATCCATTCCTTTGGTGCACTCTGCTCTCCTTCTCGGCATTGTCTCGTTCCGCCTCGCATTCTGAAAAGAAAAATTTATGCCACTGGATATAGAGAGAGAGAGCATGCAGCAATAATTAGCGCCCGTGACTTTTGCTCTGCCGCTTTTGATATGTACCTCTGATATATATATATATATATGCCTCTCTAATCTTGTAATTTAAGCTAAGTCCTCCTAAAACCTCTCTTTAAATTACGTCCGTTGTGGTAATGTTTCATGCGGTTTGTTTGGTGTATAGATGCTATAATCAGTGATTCCGGTTAGCGATGCGGGTAATGGGTTAAATGAAAAATATGTCAACCATTTTGGCGAGTACCAAGTGTTCGATGTGACCACAACATAAAGCCAAATTACAAACACACCAAAGGAGCACCGATAACCAATTAACCTCTCGGCTATGTTACTGGGGAAAAAGTCTGATCCAATAAACAATCAATGTGGTTTCATTACCACAGAATCTGAGCCACCACTCGGCCGTGTTCTTGCCATGAGCATCCATGGAAAGAGCAAGCTGTCTGATGAGACCTCTCTTCTCTTCCTACTTCCCTCTTCTTTGGATCATACAGACTCTTTGCACGGTTTGGCTGCAAATTCGATTTCAAGATTCTGCCTATTAGAATATATATGCGGTTAAATGTCGGTTTGGTTTAATTTTTGTTAGTAAAAGGGTTTGGTTTGCTGTTTTCTTCTCCTTCTCCAATTGAGAAAAAATTGCCTTCGTTTTGTTTCGACTTTTTCCCATATTAAGAACGGCAAGAGGTTTTGATTAACTTTACTCTGTTATCTGATTTTCACATGATCACATATGTAGGGTATCAAACGAGCTAACTCGGATCATTTTGGTCTCGACTCATTTAGCTCGGATCGTTTTGGACTCTCTTCGTTTTCTAACTAACCTAAAAAAACCCAACTCAAATCGCTCGTCAGTTTTTCGAATTGAACGAATTAGTTCGTTGAGTCAGAGATATATAAATATTTTTTTATTATATTTATTTCAAATTTAACGATAAATTAAAATAAATACATAAAAATAAATAAAACTTCAATATCATAAACTACGTAAGAAAAATCTTGGTTGGTATTTTAAAAGATTAAAAAATAATCTATCAATGGTTCAATAAAAAATAAATTAACAAGATAATAACAACAAAATATATTTTAATAACATTTTCGTATTTATATTTTGATTTTCATTTAATCTTTTTTATTATCACCACTATAATAATTGAGATATTTAAGATATCACATGCATGAATGATACGAGGGAAAAAAAAGAAATATAAAATTATGTTAGAATTTTTTTATAGAAAATTAACTTTAATTTTTTTTTAAAAAATACAGCTCATTGAGTATCTCGCTAGTTCGTTGAACTAGTTCGTTACGACTACGAATTCAATGAGTTGACTCGCCGGACTCGTTTTTAAATGAGCTAAAAAAATTATAACTCAAATTCTGGTGAGTTACGAACCGGTTTGCCAGCCGTACTCGTTTTGACACGGTACATAAAAATATATGCTTTGCTAGCGAGCAGTAGGAACCATAATCAGTCTTCTTGGGCCATGGGGATGAGCTCTGAACCTCTCTTGTGTTATGTTTAGGTTTTGCCTTTTCTCGTCCCATAAATATCAACTTATATGTATACACACGCACACACAACACAATCGTAGGTTTTAGGTGTTGTCTTGTCACAGACATATACACACACACACAGATATGTCTCTTTAATCATATATAGACTAAGACTATATAGAGTCATCTTAAGCACATCATTTATTTTATTTGTGTTGTGAGTCACATCACTTAATGATACTTTATTTTTTCTAAGAATGTCAATTAAGCCCGGAACCCGAAACTCGGCCTGAGCCCGCCCGAAAATTATAAGGACATGGGCCTAAAAAATGTAGGCTCATTAAATTTCGGACTTTCGGGTCTCGGACCAAATGGGCTACGGGTCGGTCGGGTCGGGCCAGCCAGGTCTCGGGCCGGGCTTGAGGCCCGTTAATTTTTTTTTATTTTTTCTAACCTTCTTGTCTAAACCAAAGTTTTACCTCTCTATACTTATAAATATGTGTGCCTAAATATATATATATATATATATATAATATTGATTTTTTTTATAGGTTTTAAATTAATTACATCATAGAATTTCTTTTTATATTATATTTGTTATTTTTTTTATCACGTTTAAAAGTTTTTAATATCACATGTTGTGGTGTTGGAGAATTGAACAATTGGATAATTTTTTCAATTTTATTTTTATTTGTGAACTAAATGAATTTGTTGTTATCGGTTTTAAAAATATTTTTGTTGAATGTTTCATATTATTATTATTATTATTATTATTATTATTATTATTATTATTATCGCAAAAAAATATTTTTATTTAATAAAAAGCCCGAAGCACGGTCCGAACCTGCCCGAAGCCCTGTAGGGCCGGCTCCGGTAGGGGTGGGCACGGGTCGGGTACCCCCGTTTTTTAGGAAACCCGATCTCGGTCTCATCATCACGGGTTTTACGAAAAAATTATCTCATTTTTGATTTTATGAGATCCGGGTACCCCTAACCCGGGTTCAATGAGATTCTCAGTCTCGTACTCACGGGTACCCGGATCTGATAAATAAATAATTCAAATATTGTATAATTTATAAAATTCAATAAAAATAACTTAAACAACATTCAAAACTCGATTTTATAAATTATAAATTCGATTTCATAAATTAGAAAGATTGAGAATATAGAAAATAATTAAATAAAATAAAAATATTTTAATAAATAATAAAATACCTTATATAAATGTTATAAATATAAATATATTTTTAATTTTTAATTAATATATCGGATACTCGGGGTACCCGTTATGAGTTCATCGAAACCCGAATCCAAACCCGGGGGTCAAAAACTCGGTCTCGTTAAACCCGGTCTCATCATCGTTAATATCCGGATACCCTTTCTCCGGGTACTTGTTAAGCCGGTACCCCCAAACCCCCGGGTTATAGATTGAAACGCCCACCCCTAGGCTCCGGACCATCTATCCTAGACCCGAAAAATAAATGGGCGGGCCGGCCCGACCCGAAAAATTCTAGGCCCGAATTGAACCCGACCCGACCCGCCCATTTTACACCCCTAATTTTTTCCATCAATTATTTCTAATCATGCTTGTTGGACCGTCAAAACGGCTAAAGTATGGGGCGGTGATCACGGGACATAATAAAAAAGCACTATATATATAGTTTTTCTAAAAGCTAAAGATTCCATAGAAAATTAAAAGTTTTTTTGTTTAATCTTAAATTACAAGTTTACAATGATTATATAAAAATTAATTTCTGTTTTTTTTTTAATAAATAAAATCCCCAATATCCACTTGCTTAATCCTGAATGATTTGTACTCATTCACCCTACATTCTCTTATCTAATAGTATCAAACAATGTTATTTCATTAGATTTGTTTAAAAAGGAAAACAAAATCCATATGAATCGCATGATCTAACATTAAATGAATATCATCATTATCTCATTTTGCCCTTTCTTAACTTAATTGCATGATTCATTCATGTGGCATAAATTGTCCATACCCCCAAAATGCTATAAAGAAGGGAATCCCTGTAATCATATGCTACACATTATCTCAATCATTACCTTTCCCCCTTTGTGAGATATACATATATCTATATCATGCATATTTGTCTGAGTTACCGAATGTAGTTAAATATTAATCTCGAAAATTTTAAGTTAAAACTAATTTTAATATATTAAAATGAACCCGACGGCAGCAGACATATACAGGGGGGGGGGGGGG